TCCCTGTAACAAGACAAGCTTTCTGCTTGCTCTGCGAAACTGCTCATACTTTTCACTCAATCTGTTGAGCCAAGCAGCTCCAGACCACTGTCTCCCACTTGAGACTGGCATCTAGTGGCAAATGCAGCTGCCTTCTACTTGTTTGGCAGATCAGCTAAACCACTAATCCAGGAGGTAAAAGTGCAGTATGCGTTCAGCTCTTGTGCAAAGAGTGGCAGCTGGTAGGACTGAATGTTTGGTGGAAAAAAACATTTTATCCCCTTCTTCCCACAAATATTTCATCCTTGACTATATGCAGGTGCTGTTAAATGAATAAAGTAAACATACTGAAAAACAGAGATAAGCAATATTCATTTATTATTTTCAATGAAAAAATTGATGGGCGTTCTTAAACAAAGGAAAGGATGTTTAATTTTATACTGTCACTGTAAGAAAATGTATTGCAAAATTTAATTTAAAAATTTTTGACAGCACAACAATGTTCTGTTTTTGTTATTCAGTTAAAGGAATACTAGCTGATTATTGTATTAAGAGATCTTTAACGAGCAAACTTGTTACTAAAGCATCCTGATTTATTCCACATGAGGAAAACATACATTCTTCCTCTGGAAACTTGTAGTGAATCTCAGAGGAAAGTCATTTCCAACAAGACTGATTTAGCAATACACATCAGTGAGGGCATGAACTAAGTAAGACAAGGATATTACCCCAGTCTTTCGAATCGTTGGCGAGAAAAGGAATTCAGGACAGTCTAAGAGCTTCAACAGTGTGCTGAGTTGACTGTTAAAGGAAACACTCCGTAATTAACTGTTAGATCTCAAAAATTAGGAAATCACTGATCTTCAAGTCAAAACATCAAGTTCACTATTTTGTAGACTGTCTGGGATTAATACCACAGTCACGTACGACTAAGTGCAGTGATTATCACATGGAACTAAGTCACTGAAAAGTCATCAAATTCATGCAAAACCGCAATGAAGTCTTTTTTAAAAATTTTAAATTTAAACATATTTCTATGTAGGGTAAACACTACAGAAAATGAATTTCAGAGCTTTTTAATCAAGAAAACTGCAAGTTTTGATAATAAAGTTGTTTTTTTTAATTCTGTGGTTGCAGCTAGAAAATTAAATGTATGTAATTTTAAAAAAATTAACTAACAAGAAGGGTGATAATAATCTTTTCCCTCACATGGCATTAGACTTTATTCTATGACTGTTGGTTCTGCAGGTTGAACTTTATATCTTTTAAAGGAAAATAACGTTGACAACTTCTAAGAAGATGGCAAGGGTCTAACCCACATTGTAAAAAACACTTTCCATAAGGAAAGGCATTTACTTCACATACATAGATAGAGCAATTTTAATACACAGTTAGATAATTGGGCACTTATCTATCTGTTCAGCTAATTTTGCTATGGGTATGTTTATACGAGTTTTGTCAGGAACCACCATATTGGAAAGGACATCTGTACAAAAGCATTGCAGATGCCTTGTGGTCTGAAAGTATGCTGCACAAATATGGCATTTCTGAAAAATGTGGAAAAAAAAACCTCACCACATCACAGAGCAGAAACTGCTCCTACCCTCAAATTCTTCACAGTACAAAATGAATGAGCTTTTCTAGGCAAGCCTTCTGAAGTTTTCAGTACGCTCTGCTCCTACTTGTGGGTGGAGTTCTTAGAAAACAAAAACACTATCTGGAAAAAGTAGTCTCGATACATATTTCTAACTAGGCATTTCTAATTTCAGGCCAGTTGAAACATTTCTATGGATGATAAATACATTTTTGTTAAATGTCAGCATGACTTTTGTCACATTGTGCAATACAGAAGCAGTTTTTAAATCCATTGCAGATTTAAAAAAATAATAAGCAAAGCATTGTGACAATTAGGCAAAATGATGTATTTGAACACATGGTGCATTTTGCTGTTAACATGTATGTGTAACTTCCATTAATGTCAGTATGAGTTATGCATGCACTGGGAAAATAATATGACCGTAACAAAAAATATTTCCTCCAGAACTAATATAGTAATATTATTTTGTAGACATTTGGAAAAATCACATATTTAGAAAGTAACACGCAAATGCAAATCCTTCTCCAAATGTCAACACCGTGGCATTCTTTAAAATAAATCTCATCTTTTCACATGTTGGCATCAAGTTAAGAATAACTAGATGTTTATCTCCTTCCATCAAATTGCCTTTCCTTTAAAGGTACTTATCTAGTTTCCAGTTCAAAAAGACGAATCAGATAATGAACTACATTAAGATTCTATCCAATTTTATTTTAAACTTCCTTAAATAACTGATTCTATATGGGGAAATGTAATGACAACTGAAGAAGTTATCTAAAACTGACAACTGATTATAACCAGTAAATTAAGATGGATCTTGGCAATGTCAGCCAGATGGGCCTAGAATGCAGAGTTATGTTTGGAACTTGAACATAATATAAGCATAGGAAATCATCACAAACGTTCTTAAACACACCGTTCATGCCTATTTGACTGGAAGGCAGCAGTCAAAAATTGTAATCACTCAGCATTAAATAATAAAATGAAAAATAGAAATTAGGGTCATTGTGGCCAATTAATAAATTGTCTTAAAATATCAAAGAGAAGCCAGACAAAGAAATACTATTCTAGTATATTCCTGCTACATAGAATTGTCATTATTCTGTCAGCAGATGTCTGGGTCTTAGCTAGCTGCTACAATCTACTTTTGAGAACATCATATTCATAAAAATAATTTAATGCCATATTGATAATATTCTGTTGTAATGTAGCAGTTTTATATAGTTTGTTTGACATGCACTTATTTCAGTGAGTAATTTCAAAAATTAAACTAGGGTAATAAATTTCTGAATTATTTATACAAAATATTTACCAATACACATATACCTATTAGTTTATCCTGTTTAATATATTTTATTAAATTAACAATCTAGTATATCTAAAATTAAGACACACATTGATTTAGACTTTCCTATATATAGCAGCAGTCATGTAACCCTTTTCCTCCACAAAGCTCAAAAATAATGTGTGTTCATTTTTTGCTTCTCTGATGCAGTGTTAAGATGGCTTTAGAGGCAGTAACTAAAAAGAGGCAAAAAGTAAATACAAAAATGCATATTTCTGCCACTATTCTTATTATTTATTCTGTTCAGTAATATTGTGCTGTATGTTTTAAATACTGTTGCATTCATTAACTCTATTTTGTTTCCCCTAGACCTCATCCTAAACTCATCCTAAAGTCTGATAGCCATACTCAGTTATTTCCTTCACACTTATCACAACCAAAAGTTACAAATAAAACTACGCAACGATTAGGATATCGTTCAAACACATTAGTTAACTCCATGAGCACCGTACAAGCGGCCAAAACTCTTTTTCAGAGTAGGATTATACTTTAATGTTCCTTCTCCAATTTGAACTCTTTTTTACCCGTTTCACAGGTGTATTATTTTAGGTTACACAGGTTTTGTTGTTAACTTTGTAGATTTTCAAACAAATTTGAGCTCAATTTCGGATTAAAAATGAAAAATGTATGAAAAATTGCTTTTCTTAAAGACAGAAAAAAGGAACATGTTTTTAATCAAAACAAACAAACAAACAAACAAATTTCACCTAGCTTTTGCCAACCTCACCTCCTAAGCAGAAGATACATGCCTTAATGGAGCTCTTCAACATCCAGGAGTTTCTGCATACTCAACCAAAAAAGTTATAGTAACGGAACTAAAGATCCTGCTTTTTTTTCAATATTACCCAACAACTGATAATTAGGATCGCTTATAGGAAAAAACAGAATCATTCTTATGGTTAGAGCAAAAACTAAGCATGCACTCAAAGAAAGACACCAAAGCACTAAGAAAATAGATGACTTCACGAAATACACTGGCACTTACCATCTGATTTATAATAGCTGAATCAATACATAAATATAAAAGAAAATCAGAAAAATAAATAAAACATATCTATTATCAAATATAAAATCACATGCTCACTACTACAAAGTATCAATTTGCATATGTGTTTCCATTTTGCTCTGTTCCTACATATAAATCACATTAAAGTTAAAAGCTGAAACTCTTTTAACTTAATTGGAAACAGCATTCCTTTTTACATTACAGACTTATAATGCTGCAGCTGTATTACATGGTAGCCATTCTTAAAATCTGCTTTTATAAAACTACATTAAGCACATCTTCATTTCCCATGTTGTCTTATTTACAGGAAAAGTATTAAATAATTTTTCTGATTATTTACTTTAACTGTGAGGATTTTTACAACTTAGCTGAAGTTACACCCAACTTAAGTGGGTTTTTTTCTGTTTCCCCGAACAAAATAGTCTGAAAATTACAAATCTGTATTTTCTTTGTTGAATGTTAACTACACGCTCACTAGCCTAGCCATGTCCTAACAGGTTAACTCTCTTTTGGCAAACACTGATTTCAAAGATTGTGTCACAGTTTTAACATGCTATAATTACAGATATTTTCCTTTGGTAGGAAGTTACAATTTAACTATAGGCCTATCTTCCTTTTTCTGTTCTAGATGCTTATAAATAGCGATAATGACTGGTAAGGTTTTTTATAACCAATTAATTTCAATAGATTTTGTACCATCTACACAAAGCTGGTAAACCCCTTTCCTCGCATCTAACACTCACTGAAACTCCATAAGAGCATTCTCACTGAAAGACGAGGCCTCAGACCCTCTGTTTCCCATGAAGGTTACGCTGTACTGATATTTGACTTGCATGTAACAAGGAACAGCTTTCAAAAAATTCTTATTATGTCAACTATTGGCTACTTTTAAAATGAAGACTTGTACACTTCTATATTTTAAGAAGAGTTTTAACAATTACATTTTACAACCACTAGAAGTCCTGAAATTCAGACTTTAATATATCTACTTACATAGAAAAAATATTTACAGAAAAAACTTATTGCAACAAATAATTAATTTTTCTAGATATTAGAGAAATAAATGTACTCACTTCATTTCTAGAATTTCTTCAAGCTGTTTTCTCCGCTCTATTCTTAGGTTAGCCAGATGTGCTTCCTTTTCAGCCAAAGACTGCTGTGTTGAGGCAAGACGGGCTTTGGTAGAATCTAATTCTTGTCTAGTCTTTTCCAGTGCATTCATCAGTTCTTCTACCTAAAAGTGAAAGAACTTTTTAAGCCCCAGGTTCTCTACAAGAAGTAAATCTTTAGGTAAATATAGGGAAAAAACCCATAGAATTATTTTAAGTAAACAGCTGCTAAAATCCATTCCTATTTGAATTGTTTTTAAAATAGTCTTTAAATACCAAAAAAACCTTAATGTTTTCATGAACCTATCTAGTAATGAGCAACATTTATACAAACCAGAACACACACAGATTGCCAGAAAGCTACTTAACCTGTGCCACTGCCACATACAGACAAAATTCATAAATAACTCCTACATCATTTATATTATTGAAACACAGGATGGTGGTAACTCATTATGATAGCAATTTTACAAATTTTAAATGCAGAGATAGGTATATATTGTAATATAAAATTGATTATAAGTTCCAAATACTTTTCATCTAAAAATACACACCCTTCAGTGCTGAAGTTGTCCAGAGAAGGTGTACGTTCTCCATGCTTAGGAATTTTCAAATCTTGAAAAGGAAACCTGGAGAATCCAATTTAACTTTGAAGTTACCCCTGCTGTGAACAGGGACTGGACTACATGATCTCCAGTTGACCATTCTAACCTAAATTGTCCTATGTTTCTGCACTTTATATGTCTGCTATCATTCTAGGAAATCAACCAAGTTATTTTCCTCAGGACAACTGTGAGAATTTCTGAAGTACGAAATGTAGGAAAATTAAGGTAATAGCAATCTTTCTTTGGCATTGACAAATATCAGCTGGATTTAGGATAAATTGCTTATTGCAGAAATTCAGAAAACCTCCATGTTTTCAGAAAATATGATTCAGAAGTTAAAAAAAAAAAGTGTCTGCCATATTGTATCACATTATCTAAAGAACAAAATAAATGGAGACTACATAAAACACATGTCTGGCAGCAGCAAAATTTACTTGTGAGGTGAATCATTACATTCAAAGAACCAGAGTAGCCTCTGACATTTCAGTGTGATTTCCCCATTCTTGCGCAAATGTTCAAATGATACAGTTTATATTAAAAGGTGCAAGTATACAACAGAGAATTCATTTATTTTTTAGGAGATACAGTGATCAAAATAATGAATGCGGTATTTCATGCATTTTCTTTCTCATCTCCTTTGTGAAGATGTTCCTTTGAGAAGAACATCTAAGTAGAATGAAATGGGAGAGCAGAGGAACAACTGAAATATATCTAACCTAACTGCTTGTTTTATAGCATGTTGTTCATGTTACACAAGTCACTGAAAAGTGTGCACTTTCATGTAGTGACAAAGTCTGACGATATTCAGCTGTTGTCATTATCATAAGCGTGTCTATAAAGACAATAAGATGTTTTCCTCCCAAGTCCATGCTTAATTATTGCTTACCCTCTTCTGATATCTAAATCCTACTTGCATGTAATCAGTTTTTATAAATCACATATTTTTGTTTTAAGTTGAACACACATTGCTTTGCTTGCCTCCCACTTAACAGGCTCTTTAAAGCAAATTAGTAAAACAATCTCTATCACAATATAACAAGCAGACTCGCACCCTGTTTGAAAATGATACACAGAGTACTTACCACTGTAAACCAGCAGCATCTGCAGTCTTTATAAGCGCACCAGTAAGATCAACACATACCACAACACGTTGGCTAAATCTAGTACCTAAGAAGTTATATTTTACCAGGGCAGAATCAGAATTACCAATACATTTAAAGTACTGACCTTCTCAGTACTTTCTTACTCTTCCACTCACAAAGGAAAATCAGTGTAATACTAGTACAAATGAAACAGCAAGGACTGCCAGCTGTGCCCTACAGCCTGTGCAGGTGCCAGATTCCACTAAAGCAGACCCTGAAGAAAGATGAAGGCTATAGATAACTTTGAAAAATGGCTATCTAATACACTTTCACAGTAAAAGTAGATAAGAGAAAATACAATAGAGGGAAATGAATAATAAAAAAGCTGCAGTTGCACTTGCATCACAGAAAAAAATAAAATAACACTAGGAGATCATTTAAAAATATACTCAATTTCTAATACAACACCAGATGATTCATTTTTAATTTTAATACACACAAACACCTGCTGTCTCCAGCAAGGACAAGCCTCCACTACTTAAACATAATGTTTCTCCCTGCTCTCCTGGGCTATTTCTTAATTTCAACCTTGTGTTTCTTAAAAACTGCACAGAGTTTCTGCTGAAAACCATATAGTAAAGACTCCAGACTGTTACTTAATTCCAGGTAGCATACATTAATGGAAACAGTAGTGAGGATTCAAGACTGCAACATCATTCATTCATACAGACTCTTGCTTCAAGATGGGCTCTCATGGCACTCTGCACTTGCAGATTTGTGTGGCAGATGAGAACGTAAAAAGGCAGAACAGCACCACTTCTTTATCTTTAGTACTGTTCCTACAGGTTCCACCGAATTTAGTATCCAGCCTATTGACCGACTGAATGCTCACCTGATTTCTTATATGTCACATCAGCTATATTTTAAAGCATTTAAAAGAATTAAACAATTGTGAAAAACAAAGCTGTGGATTTGTTAAAGTATGTTAATGTAATATTCACATATTACCAGAAAAAAGTGACCAGGTTTTAAAAAAGAGGAAAAAAATCTTTAAAATTTAAAATATAAAAACCTTTTTAAACCACAAATCATTAACACATGTAGACTTGAAAGTTACACTTTCATTTACGTTTTCAACACAATATTTGCCAGCTAGTTCTTCCGTCACTTTTTGAGCATGACCCAAGTTCAGAGCTGTATGTTTTCCTAGTTAACTGTCTCACCAACACCTAGAGCAGCAGCAGAACTTGACTGGCAGGCATTTATAAAAGAAACTGATTTTCAAATACCTTATTATCAAAGATTTTATTATCAAAACTAAACACGTAATGCTGAAGTTACACACAACCACCTTACCTACATGTTTATCATTATCGCTGCAGTACCTATATTACAATGAAAAATTAACTTCAAATATTGAAGGCAGCTTTATCTAGATATAAACGTTTAGGGGGAAAAAAAGCTGTGTAAAACATAAACCAAATTTCAGAGTAAGCGCATACGCTCCTCCTAGATATTAGAATTAAATAATGGCAGAAAATATGAAGGATAAATATTGCTTTACTACATCTTTTAGTCCTACTCTAAAGAATGGAGATAAATTCAGTACTACTGGTGCAAAATTTTAGCTTTCTGAGCTATGGCAAATGTTTCTTTCAGTGCATTTAGGGTCAGTGCATTTACAGAAGAACATGCAGAGTCCTTTCCTGACCAGACCATTGGCATGATCCTGCCTCTCAGTTTTTGTTTCTCAACTGTCCAGATATTGAACTGATCCTCCTCTTGAGGGATCAGTTCAATAATGGCCAAGGAACATCTTTACATAATTTTTATATCATTGCACAAAAGGTCAAGATAAAGTTTGTATTGACAGTTATATTTATGACCTGTGATAACTCATTCAGCCACTTTCCTTCCAAACTGAAGCATCTATTTTACCTTAATTATTGAATATGCTTCATTAAGACATAAATACAGAAAAGTCTCTTAAGCTAATTACTGTTTATCAGTAACATATTCTAAAATCCAAGCAACATTTTAAATGATTTCATGTGCTGACTTTAGTACAGGCATTGTCATTGTGCAGACAACGCTAAACTCATTTTTCCAAATATCCTCTTCTCTCCCATTTCCACTTGCCTCTGTCCTGCCCTGCTTGCAGTGATGCCTCTCGGGAAGGCTGCTGCTTGCACCGAGACAGTCCTGCACAGGGGCTTGACAGGGCTGCGCCCTGCTCAGAGCAACAGCCTCAACGCCCGCTCTTTTTTCCACCACTATATCTGTTGGTCTCATTACTTCTGGGCACAAATCTGACCATTTTAAATATTAACCGAAGAGTTAATATGAATTCATGTTTTGGAAGAGTTTATTGTGAGATTCTAATTGAATACGAAGTTCTTACTACGTAAGTATTCTGTGCCCTGAACACATTAGCTGGGGTTTTTTTTTTCCTTTTTGGAAGAAAGCAGCCATGTTTTTTCATTTGAATTTTCTAATAAAAGTCTTTTTTTACATACACTTTCAAAAAGCTTAACTGACTTCAGCACTTCAAGGATTTGACTAAACACTGTTCTATACCTGCATTTAAGTTTACATTTCAGAATGGCAGGAAACTGGCAAACCAAACCATTACAATTCTCCTTAGCTTTGTGTCTATTTTAAATGAACGCTTTCTAACTACTTCTGCAGCTTCACATCTTCAAGTCCAATCAGCACGTTTTCACACCAACATAAGAAACAAGAAAGAAATGAATGGAGAAGAAGTATACATCTGCATTACCAGATTCTGTAAATTAAAGAAGGTTAGAGTTCAAATGAATGACAGTTTATTAAAAATGCCCTGGAGCATTCTTAATTCCAGATTGGATTCGGCTCAGCACAACTCATGCTAACATAATACAGTTCCAGTTTGTGGGAATAAGGAGGGGGAGGGACAATAGCATGTTTTTTTCAGCTCAAGTATGATATATTTCTGTAGAATGACGAAGCGCTGGCAACTCTCCAACAATCAAGATTAGTATTATTAGTAATACTATCTTTAAAGGGTTGGCACTTCATTTTATCAACAATATGAGTGATAAATACAAGAGTTTTGGATTTCCCTTACTGACTTTTTCAAGTATCAGTAGCCACACAATTCCATACCTACTTTAATTTAAAACTTAAGCTTACGTTAGTACACATAGATCATTTTTGAATTTTACATAGTAAAATTCACACTGATAAATCCTACTATTTTGTTACAGTTTCTTCACTTTTCTTTACTACAAGAATATCAATTGTTATAAATAAATTTTTTAAAAAGGTTTAAAAAGCTTTGTTACGTTTGCCCAGTACAAGTTTATGTGGATTGTATTTGTTTAATGAAAAGTCAGTCAGTGTAAAAATCCATCCACTTTTTTTCAAAGGTCCTTTCTTTTCTCCATTTGCAAGGGAACT